CTGGCATTTCCAACACTTGGGGCATCTTTCCATGCAACAATCCCTGCAGTTGTCCTATCGCACTCACGTTCGCCGGTCGTCTCCTCTGCACTCATACTCACGATGGCCACCCTCCCACATCCCGCATTCTTCCGTGCCTTCTATCCGAGCACCACCGTACTGACGCGCGCCCTATTAGGTATTTGAAAGCTCTGCGTCTACAGGCAGAACAGGTCGCCAGTGCGACCGGTACAAAACGCCCAGCCGCAGACGAGCTCGGCGCAGACGGGCAGCCCGTCAAGCGTCCCCGGGGCCGCCCAAAAGGCAGTAAGAACTCGAAGCCGCCGAAGCCGAAGAACGGCACCCCTTCCGCTTCGGCGCCTGCCTCCGCCTCCTGAGCTCTTCCACGGTTCTCCGTCCCCACCTTGACGGGGCGGGTACGAGGCGCGGGGTGACTCGCGCTTCGCATTGACGGGGTTGACGAGCGTTGGGCTGGGCCAGCGCGCGAAACCACTTCGCCCAGGAAGCGTATGTTTCAGTATGTTGTCGCTATGTTCCATATTAGTCGCTGTACGTTATCCGCCCTCTTACAGTAGTCCCATCTGTACAATCTCACCCAATTACTCGAGTCTTCACCGTCTACCAGCGTTCGGACCGAAGCGCGTTCCAAATGGTTTCATCGCGCCCAAGGCCACCGCCTCTGCAATGGTGTCCAGATTTAGCGTGTCCTTGAGCGCGGGTGCCCTCCACTTGGGCGCCGTTCGCACTCGACGACTGCTTATTCTCTGCAGGCGGCCGATGCTGATCCTCCTCGCGTTCACTGTCGGCACCGACCGCCCTCGACGCCCCCGACCTCTCTCCAGGCCATCGCCCGACGAACAAATTCGAACTGCTTTCAAACACCTCTGCCGGAGGCGCCTCGGTGCGTCCACCCGCTCCCACCCGGGCTTCAACGCGCTACAGTCGGGTCGGGGTTGGCATCATTCTGTGGCCTGCGCGACCGGACTTGGCTGATCGTCTGTAGGGTTTCTGCGCCTTTGCCGACGTCCACGTCTAGGCTTCTACTAGTAGGCTCAGGTGGACGAGAGTGTGTGTCGAAGGTGAGGTCGAAGCGCCGAAGTCACGGGCGGACGTCTTGACTTTAGAGAGTGTGCACTCGGAACGGCCTGCGCGCTCTGAAGATCCTGGACGAGGAGACCGACGTGCACGGGGCCCGGCGAAACGCGTCCGTGAACCGCGGCGCTTTCGCTCTGGTCAACGGGTGTTTTGCGCCTCGAGACTCGCGAGGCGCGTGCACCGTCCCGCGTCCGTCTGGTTGAGCGGTCCTGTCAGAGACGCGAGCATCGCGGGACGCCCGCGTCCTCTGCTCAGGTGGGAACGGCTGACGCGCCCGGGTGCTCTTGGGCGCGGGTGGACTGTGGTCTGTCGCGCAGCGGACCACACGAGCGGATAGGACGGGGAACGGTGGGCTTGGGAACGCGGTGCGCCGAGTCTGTGCGACGAGCGACGCGTCGACCACGTTGACTGGACTTTCCTTTTCCTCGGTGGTCGCGGGTAGGCGATGGAGCGGCAGGCGACGAATGGGCGCGCATCTCGGTGTGCGACGAGCACGTACATACCGATGTGTGCTAGGCTACGCCCGGCACGCACACCCCCCGTAATCACCGCCCAGCTTCGATGTTCTTTCCGACCGTACGAGGACGCCGGGAGCGGGATCGGCATGATGGCTTCCTTGGGGATGCCGCCGTCCGTCGACGTCGAACAGTCGCGCGGTCCGAAACGTTGAACGACCGCCTGGGCGCACCCTGCCCGCACCCCGGAAGCGCACCAGGACCAGAAGCAGAACCCTGGCCGCTCTGCGAAGCCGTCGAGGGCGGCAGAGCGCAACCAGCCGCGCTAGCTCCCTCCCTCCCTTCAGGCCGCCCGAGGGCAGCCCGGTCCCGCAGGTACATTGCGCACTTGGCACATGCACGATTCGTGCGCGCGCGCCCTACGCACTCGCTTGCCTCGCGCACGGCGCACAATTTCCGCACCGCGTCGCAGCGTGCGCGCCGAGGTCGAGCGTAGAGAATTTGAAGCGGCAGCGGCCGACAGGTCACAGAAAGATCGGCGCAGGCACAACATCACGATTCACAACACACTTTAGCTCGTGCTCGTCCCGCCCCAGGCACGCTACACACCACTCATTGCACATGTATGTTCGAAAAAGGCGCAGCGAGCGCCGACCGCCTTGGCACGTTCTGCCAACCCTGGCAGTCGTGGCGCGCGTCGACTCCGAGCATCAAACCGACGACGAGACAGCTCGGGCGGCCTGCGCCCCGCGCCGGCGCCGGCAAGGGACGCTCCGCGTCGCGCTGAGCGCCCGCCGCCCGGAGCCCGAGAGTCCCGGAGAGCGAACACCCACGGCGCGGAGGGGGACGTGGACGTGGACGGACGACGTCCGGGCGACGCGGGCGACGGCGACGTAAAGTGCGTGTCCGCGAGAGACGAACCCCGAGCCGCACCGCGAGGCGGCGGGCACGATTCCGCGATCATCATCCCGCGGCCGTCGTCGTTTGTTCGTCGTTCGCCGTTCGTCGTCGTCGCGAACGGCGTAGATTTGACAGCTGCACGCACGCAAGAGCAGTTGGGTATTCTGGACGCCGGGATCGACGGGTGGCCCGTCGCGGACGTGAAACGCACCGAACGTGCCGCGTCGGCGAGAGCGTGGGCGTCGCAAGGAGTCAAACGCGCCGTCGCCGACGCGGAGCAGGTTCGCTGCCCAATCCGGGCCACAATCCCGACGGGGCGCGTTGGGGTGGCCCAGAATGGGAACCGACGCGCTCCACGTGTGGGCGTCGAGACGGGCGCAGTGATCGGTTGTGCCGGTACGCGACGCTCAGACGAGACGACAAAAGAGAGTGCGCGGCGGGAGATCAGGATCGCATATATGAGCACCGTGATGGCCCGTGCAGGCGTGGACGCCCGAGTGAGCCCAGGGCGGGGTGGACGACGAAAGATGAAAACTGACGCACCTGGAAAGTTCGCAGCACCGGTGGGTGGCCATTGTCGTGCTCGCCAAAGAGGCAGGACGAGCCATTGTCCGGCCGACGCGAGATCGACGGGCGATGCAGTGCGAAGCGGACACAGGAACCTCGCGAAGGGTCGACAGCGCGCAGCACCGCACACAGCACATCACGTCCGCGGGCGGGCGCTGGCGCATTTGTCGCGCGCAGGCGGATCCGGAGGCGCGAATCAGGCAGCCTGCGTACGCGACCAGCTGTCGTCCGATCAGTTTCGGGTGTAGGAGGACGAGCCGACGCCGCCGCCGCCGTCGTCGTCGTCCAGGCGGCGTACGCACACAAACTGGATATGTTTAATTACGGTAGAGCGCAGGACGGTCCCTGATCTGAGTGGCCGCCCGCACGTGCTTCCAGATCTCGGACCACCTGCAGGACCGCATCGAGATAGCGATCGTACTGCTGCCCGCCGTGCGTACCATGAGCGCAAGGGCGCGATGCTGCCCCTCCGACGTCGACATTGGCATCGATGGGGCCACTCGCCTGTTCCCCCGCCCCATGCGCACGACGCGCGACGTCGGCCCCCCGAAAGCTTCGGTGACGGCGGCGCACGAGGCTGGCGCGCGCGCGCACCGGACTGCGCCCCGCTGCGAATGGAAGGCGCGCCGTCGGACGTGTGTGCGTGCGTGCGGTGCGGTGCGGGGAAGCGGCTCGGGCGCGAAAGTCGGACGCCCGAGGGGTCTTCGAATCCCCACAACGATGCGATGCGGGGGTGGGCGCGTGCGTGATGGGGGGAGAAGACGGGAAGGACGAGGGTGCGCGCGACGCGGGTGGCGGGGACCCTCGTTATGCAGATACATGTTCGCGTGCGGTGCGGCGGGCGCGTGCAAGCACTGTGGGTGGCGGAGTGCGCGTGTCGGTGCGGGCGGCGGTGCCACTGATCACCGCCATTTCGCACCTCTTCGTGAGCACCGTCGACGCACATGTTCTGAGCGTGTTCGTGAGGGGCGTGACCGCGCCAGCCGGTATAAGCGCCCAATAAGGTCTGCCGTCATCCAGTCATTTCGCTCCATCGGGACGGCCGGGCGGTGAGTATCCGGATATCCATATACGTCCCTGCAGTCATCGTCCTTCCCCAGGACATAATACATCAGTCCTGCTTCTGTGCGTGTCTCTGATACATTGGACGTAGCGAGCTGTCGACATCATCTCGCCTTCGCATCCCACTCACCGACCGAAGGACCTCACAGATCCGCTGACAAACGCACCTGCAGCCGCAGCGCCCGATCGCGCATTCGAATTCGGAAGATGCTGCCGATGACTCAGCTTCTCCGCTCAAACCGTCCTCCCACTGGAAGGCCTTCCATAAGAATTTAGCGACGCTGGGTGTCGCTAAACCTTAGCTTTCCTGGGCGCTCCTGTCAAAAAATGTCGATTTTTGAACTCCGACGGTCGAGAGGGTCACCGTAGATACCCTGCGCATCAAGAATCTACGGAGGGGGTATACCCCCCTCCGTAGATGCGCTGGCTGCACAATCCCGCCCAAAAAGGCAACCTTTTTGAGCTCCGCTGCCTCGTGCGCGCCTCTTACGTTTCTTTCGCGCCTCTCCCTCCTCCGCTACTTACCTCAACACACGCTGCCTGCCTCTCCCTGGTATGTTGCCTTTCTCTTGATGCCCAACTACTGGTGCTGATGAATGTGGCCTCATACAGCATTGCCATGTAGATGCTGAACACCGCCTTGAGATCTACCACTCGAGACAAGCCATCCATGCCGCATACCATCCTAACTCCCGCGCCTCCCGCGTTGGACTCGAACTCGCGCCCGCCGCGAATCCCGCCGCAGGTGCTCACGCGTTCCCGCCTGAACTTGTCTAGCTGTGGGCTCGACTGAGACGGCAGCGCAGATGCGCACGGATCCCCGAGTCCGACGCGCGGGAAGGCGCCGCTCCACAAGTTCGGCGACGAGGGCGACAGCCTCAAAGACGGCGTGGCCGCGGTCGACGAAGAACTCGGAACAGCATGCCCGTGCCAGTACGGCGCGCGCCCGACGTCCCCGGCGTCCCCTTGGTCGCTCACCGACTCGGTGTACACGGGCTGCGACGACGCGGTGTCGACCCTCCCGCTGTCAACCTCTTCTGGCTCCCCGTGCCAGAACTACAGCAGTTCCCGCCCCCATTCCAGGCGCCGTTGATTGAAGACCTCACGCGGCTCTCGCTCTCCCTTCCGGTGATCCCCATGCCCGCCGTACCGCCATCGACGTTCCGGAGGCCGAGCCGAGGGTCGGGCGTGCTCAGCGCACTGCTCGTCGTGGACCCTGATCAGCACTCGATGATGACGATGATGACCACTACCACGACGATCCTGGGTGAGGAGTGGGCGTCGCCTCCTCACCCGCATTCGCGTCGCCCACGTCGTCCGCGACCACATCGTCCGCGTCTGTGTCACCAACGACCACATCGTTTGCATCACGTGCGTCACCACGTCCCCCTCTTGCATAGCCCTGTCTGTGTCGCTCGCATCTCCCGCGTCACCCGCATCGCCCGTGTCGGCGGACGCTTGCCGTAGGAGCTCATAGTGTAGTTAGATCACAGCAACCAATATATTTTATTTTTCCCCCACGGGGTTGCTCACGAGTGTTTACATCAAGTGGCGAGAAATTAGATTGCTTTACATTTACCGGCATGGATGTGTGCAAGAGATGGGCGCGGACACGGCGACGGCATGCTCAACGCGGGCATGGCGTGCTCATCGCGGGCGAGATGTGCTTGACGCGGATCGGGCCGGACGGGCGTCTCATCGATTGGATCTCACAGGCCTGCCAGGAATTTAGCGACGCTGCGACCGGCGACGTGCACAACTGGGCTTATGGATGGGGCGCTTATGAACGGCAGGGCGGACTCTGAACTCGCAATAAAGTTTAGCGACACCGAGCGTCGCTAAATTCTTATGGAAGGCCTTCCACTCACGACCAGTCATCCCGAACCCCGGCGTTGCGAAGACGAAGGCGACAGTCGTGCACGTCGAAGCTGTGTCGCTTATAGCGGCGGTGTCGAGTCTTTCAAAGCAGAGCCCCCGAGACGTCGCAGGCGCTTAATGGCGCTTAGATTGCTGCGCAGACCTAGCTAATAGTAGCTGCAGTAACTATACTGGAAGCCCCACCGGCGGTCCTGCGCGCGCGAGCGCCGGCACTCGGAAAGAAGCCCGGAATGCGGCCACTGCAGGAGCTGATCATGCGCGCCATGCGCTCCGACCCACTTCCGACCCACTGCGATTGCGCAGACGGGACGTGAGCGGGCGGCACGCGTGGGCCGCGAACGAGCAGACTGTCTGAGATCTGAGCAGGTGAGCCACGGGCCCCCCGAGCTCGCCCGAATTCCGATTGCCTGACGTACTACGTGCGCAGACTCGGCCTGCCCTCACCCCTCAAATCCGAACGATGCCCGTCGTCCGACGTGCCGAGGCCGTACGCGCGCGCGCCTGCCACTCCTCGGCGAGGGTGTCCTCGACGAGTATATCCGAATTTGACGGCTCGGGTCGGATCGCGTCGGGCCCACTAGTGAACTAGTGACGACGGAGCTGCCATGGGGCGGCAGGCTGCGCTGACGTTCACGGTCCAGGTCGGCTCGGTGCGCAGGCTCGGTCAGGGCGCAAGTCACGGTGTCGGTGGCCACCGAACTTCCTGCTGTATGTAAGACGACGAGACCGAGTTCCGCCGTACGAAGTAGTGCCTGCACCGTTGGCTCGTGGCCGGGCTCGCCGCGGCGACCACGCGCGCCGAGCGCCTCCGGATCCGCGCGGCGAATGTGCACGACCTGGGCGGAGACGACGGGGGAGATTCAACGTCAACATTCGAGAAGACGATGAATGCCGTCGTGGGGCCGCAAGCCGCGGCGGCGCGTGCCATCGGGATACATCCGACTGCGTGCTCCAGCACACGCAGCGTGTGCGAGCCTCGTCCGGTCCATTTCCATGCGCTCCGGCTGGCGCGGTTGCCGTTCCGTCGCGCGCGCGCGTGGGCGCGGAAAGTCAGCCCGGGCCGTCTCCGCGCGCCCGGTTTGCCGCCGCCGCCGGCGTGCTCTCGCGCACCGTCGAGGACATTCTCTCGACACGAGTGCACGACGTCGCGCGACAAGCGCCCTCGTCACCCCGTTTGACCACGTCGCCGCCGGCCCGGCGCGCAGCGGCACTGTGCGATGCGGGAGATCGCTGCGGCACCTCGAGCACTGCGCTGCGGCACCCCCCGCTCGCCACGTCTCGAACACGCGAGCTCGCACGAACGATTGCTGAGGCGGCGACGCGCCACGCTTTCGGCCCCAGCGACGAACGATCGTCGATCGGGTGTCGGGCGTCGGGCGTCGGGCGGCGACGCAGAGCTCCCGTCTCGCGCCGGGTCGTTCTTGGGCCGTGTGGTGGCCAGCTCGGCTCGTCGCTCGTGCGCCTCGGCGTTGCCGCGGGCGGGCGCCTGCGCAGGTATAACGTCGAGATTGGATCGGGGCCGTACGCACCCGGGCGCGTAAGCACCCTGCCGGGTGTGTGGCACAGGCCCGAGCGGGATAATTGATGCATTGTGCGAGGTGAGGTTTGGAGTGGACGACGGTGCAGAGGACGACGGACGGGCGTGGGCGGGACCGGCCGCGCCGAGCGCAGGGAGGACGTCAATTTCGCACGCGCTGGGACGGGTTTATTTGATGCGGGCGAGCGAGGGGGGAACGCGAGCGAGGGCGACGTCCGAGGACGACGGGCAGACGTCCGCTAGCCGACGCCAGATTAATATCTGGCGTCGTGCGCGGCGAACCGGGCGTTGGACGGCCGAGGGCGCGAGCTGGGGGGAGGGTGCATCTATCGGATTATTTGGCGGTGCGGCGCCCGCTGGCGGCTGACAGCGCTGACAGGCCGCGGGTTGCAGCAGCTGCTTGGAACTCGGAAGATGCGCCCTTGGCCGATCCCGCCCCCGCGTCTGCGTCGATTCGAACGTGGACGCGGACGCACGCGAGGGGCGGCCGCGCGCACCCCCCGGCCCACGCACGGCCAGAACCGCGGCGGAGGGGGCCTGCACTTTTCTGCGGCTTCTCGCGGTGCGTGCGCGCGGGCGAATCGCGAGGGCGTGCGAGGGCGGGGTGCGCGAGGCCCGCCGGCGAGAGTCTGGGCTCGCGCGGACCGGAGGGCAAGTAGGGGTGGCGGTCGCGGCGGGAGTGGGCGGATGGAACGCCGGTGATGGTCTGGGCCGCGGGGGTGTTTAGTAGACAGTTGAGGACGTTCTCGCCGGCGCGGCGGTCTCGAACGACAGGGGGGATCGCGGCGGTCTGGATGGGGGAGAGCATTGGGCTGGATGGGGCCGTGGACGGGGGCTGGGATGCAAGGAAGGTGCGAGCAGGCTCATTCAGCAGCGGGGGAGCTGAGTGGACGAGCTCGGGTGACAAACGCGGGCTGAGTGGGAGGGGATCGGGCGGGGTGGATCTGGCGGGGGCAGGCGGAGGACGCTTACGAGCGCGGCGGCGGGGACGCGTCGGACGGGCGGCCTGAGTCAACCCAGGCCAATGAGCGCCGTCCCGATCCCTGCGGAGACAATCACCGCCTGCGCCTGCGACCGGCGCCAGTCCCGCGTTCATTCGATCTCAGATCGGACGACTGGCTGCTGCCCTCCCCCGCCCGCACTTGTTAAATACACCCTCCCTCCCGCCATGCCATCCCCACCACTCCGCCCCCTCCCGAGCCCGCCGCTCCATCCCAGCCACCGCTCCCACCTCCACATCCATGTCTTCATCACCACTCCACCCCGCCAGCCTCGTCGACCCCTCTTCCCACTCCCCGGCCCTCCTCGAGCTGGTAGAGGTCGACATGAGCCGCAGTCTCATTGGTACGTCTCCTTTTTTCTTCTTTCCTCTTTCGGCTCCTCATTCTCGCATAGAACATGTTGTCGACACAGTCGCGGAGACCGTCGATTACGCCCTCGGCCGCCCCTCGTCCTCCCGCAGGGGCCGCAGCCTCTCCCGCAGCACGGAACACACCAAGTTCCTCAACTTTGTCACCGACGTCCTCCACAAGGCCGAGGTCAAGGTACCGGCCCTCCTCGTGACCCTTGTCTACATCGAACGCGCCAAGCCACACATTCAGATCGCCCTCGAGCAGTGGGCCCACGAGCGCGTCTTCCTCGGCGCCCTCATCCTCGCCAACAAGGTATGTGTTCACCGCAGACGTCATCTCGCGCATCTTCTCATTCTGTGCCTCCAGTACCTGAACGACTCCACCCTCAAGAACGTCCACTGGGCGCTCTGCACTGGGGTCTTCGGCAAGCGCGACATCGGCCGCATTGAGCGCGAGTTCCTCGATGTCCTCGACTTTGAGCTCTCCGTTTCCGAGGCCGATCTCCTCGCACACCACGACGCGCTCCTCGCCGTCGCCCGCCCCGCCGTCCCCGTCCCCTGCGCCGCCTCGCGCCGCAAGACCCACCACCGCCGTACGAGCTCCGGTTCGCCCCTCGGCTCGCGCTGGTCCGCGTCATCCTCGGAGATGGACGTCGACTCCGAGTCTTCCTTTGACTCCGTCTCACTCCCCCGCACACCCGAGCACGTCCCCGTGTCCGCCCCCGCGCCCGCCAAGGAAGAGCTCGACTTTTCCGCGAACCCGCACGCGCACGCCGCACACCACGTCGACCCCACAATAGCGCAAGCCACGCGCGGCGCGCGTCATTCCGCGATGGCCATCCTCCGCGCGTTCCCCCTCCCGCACTTCCACTCGGAGCCGCATCACGCCGCGCCGCAAGCCGTGCCCGTGCGCGCATAACGCGCGCCCGCCTTCCCCCGCCTTCGACCTTCGGTGTACAAAATTCTACCATTTGGCGTAATAAGTTATCGCCTCGCCTTCGCCTCAGTGCGCCCCCGCTCTCGCTACAGCTAGGAGACCCTTCGTATAATTCGCTCTCTCTTATTCCCCTAACGTATTAGTGTAGTTTTACCCCCTTTACCCCCCATTCCTGCTCCCACTCGGCCGCCCCCACTACCACCGCGCGCCGCCACACTCTCATTGCGCCTCCGTCTCTCCTCATCATCATCGCCGTCGTCGTCTGTTGTCTCTGCATTTGCGTCATTGTACGAGTACCCGCATCGCAACGGAATGGAACCCCCTTCGAACACCCGAACCCCTTTGTGTGCCCGCGTGCGTCAAGACATCGAGACTTCAAGCCCTGAAGCTCGCATCCACCACCCGAGCTCCGTGCCCCGCACACCAGGGAAGCCCGGTACGTTTCCAGCGTTGGATCTCTCGCGACGAGAATGGATTGAAGCGCCACCGGCCACACGTAGATAGTACCGCAGCCGCCTCGCGGGACACGCACGCCGCGATGGGCGATGAGCGGCGGATGACGCCGACGCGCCTCGCGCGCGCGCGCGCGGGTCATCCGCGACGTCATCCTGCGTGGTCCTGCGTGGCCGGTCGCCCCCCGCGCAGCACACCACACGCACGGCCGTCCGTACGGGCTAGCGCGTTCCCGTTCGAGCGCGTCCTCGGAGCGCCTTCCGCGTGCGTGCGGGCGAGCTCGGCGTGCCGCACGGCTATGTGCGTACGTACGCCGCGCGCGCTGCGTTCGACCGTCGCCCAGGCGCCCCCAAGTCCGCGCCGTCTCGCCCGAGGAGCTCTGGGGTCGAGCACACGCACCCCGTCCATTCCGACCCCGTCCCTCCCCGCCCCCGTCCCCGTCCTGGCTCCCCCATCAGACCCGCTGCCGACGGCGGTCGGTCGGGACTCGGGCTGCGGGCGACCTGCGCATGCGACGTGCGAGTCTCTGATGCCGGCCGGTGCTGCGTGTGGAGTCTGGACGCCAGTGCCAAATGCCAATGCCGCCGCGCGACGCAACGCAACGCACCCGGCGCACCCCCCTTTGTCAGGACTCAGGCAGGCCTTTGATCGTCGTCTCGCCGCTGCAGCCTGCCGCTGTGGCCAAGGCCCGAAAAACCCGCTGGGGGCGCCTGTGGCGCTCGCGCTCGGCCCGCGCGTCGCGAGTTCGTGGTGGGGTCGGACGGGCGGCGCTTGTGGCCTGGGGTTTGGGGATTTCGATTAGTGGTGCGGGTTGACCACGGCCGGCCCTGGGACGGTGGG